TCGCAATTGTTTGCCGAAAGTCATTTGTTTCACATTCGAGTACCTTTATTAGATATCGAAAAACGCGCAGTCCTTCAGCAAAATTGTCAACCCTCAGCGTAATTCGATAAATCCCTACATCTAACTCTATGCCAGCTGGCCCGGCCATCGCTGTTCAATTGCCGCTTGATTCGCGCATTCGTAATGGTCTCTTCGATTGAATGATTTTGCGTCAAAGCGTTGATAATGCAATGCTCGAGTGCACGCAAGCGCGATTGTGTTGCATCAACGGCATCAATTCAAGCGGGGACCGTCGGCCATTGGCCATCATNATTTTCAATGGTGCTAAGCGAATTGGAATTGTGTGAAATTTGAGCGGCTTACCAATACAAAAGAATCAAATAACAACAACTACAAGCTACAAGCAAACAAAGCCGGGCGAGAAAAGTGTAAGCAACAATAAAATCGAAATGTGATTGGGAAATTTTCGTTTTTGTTTTCAAAATCACTGATCACCACAATCAACATTTAGCACCTTTTTCCTGCAGCTACCTAAACGCAACGCAGGGTTTTAGATACTGAGAAATGGAGAATTTCGCAATTGTTTGCCGAAAGTCATTTGTTTCACATTCGAGTACCTTTATTAGATATCGAAAAACGCGCAGTCCTTCAGCAAAATTGTCAACCCTCAGCGTAATTCGATAAATCCCTACATCTAACTCTATGCCAGCTGGCCCGGCCATCGCTGTTCAATTGCCGCTTGATTCGCGCATTCGTAATGGTCTCTTCGATTGAATGATTTTGCGTCAAAGCGTTGATAATGCAATGCTCGAGTGCACGCAAGCGCGATTGTGTTGCATCAACGGCATCAATTCAAGCGGGGACCGTCGGCCATTGGCCATCATTAAAGCTACTGCGTACATAGCACAGCCATCATCAAGTGAAAAGTGCGGGGGGGCAACCGCCGTTGTACAAATACACTCGGAAATCCGGGCAATTCGTAGGTCATTGTTGATTTTATATCACAGCACTGCCATGTTGCATGCTGCATGCTGGATGCGGCACGTTGCACACTTCACTGCGTCGCCGCCGATGCACGCACAATAAAAATTAGCGTGGTTTCCTATTTATACATAAAGCGGTCATATGTGTATATTACAATGTGTGTAAGTATGTATGTGTGTATGTCTAGTGAGCTGTTTGTTTGCGGTCCTAATCTGCACATGTGTGAATTTGTAATTTTTAGGCAATTTAATCTGGTACTTTACGGATACACAACTAAAAACAAAGTGCAGCGTAAGTACCTGGAAGTGTAATTTTGTTGAAATTTAGTTCACAAATGTATGTATGTACATGTGCGTAACATTCCATTTCAAATGTTTGTGGTCTTATTTTTTTGGGGGGGGGTTTTCGAACTAATCGTTTTTCGCATGCTCGTGTGAGTTTGTCTAATGTTCATCGAAAATCTGTAAATAAATAACATTCATTACAAATATTTGAAATGGCCTACTGCATGCGATGAACATAGTCTCCGACAGGATCTCTAAACCCTTATGTACTGTCGTTGGTCTCTTAGAGCACGACAAAGATTTGAGATTAAAATTAATTCCCCACGAATAGCCTTTACCGAGTCTGCAATGGGTTCAATTCTTCAATTCAATTCAATTCTGTTATAGATATTTCATCGATTTTGTTATCGATTATTTTCGATTTTGTTATCGATTTTATTTTCAATTATTTATCGAATTTTGTATCGATTTTTTATCGATTTTGTGATTGCTATTTTTATCGATTTTCGTTGTCGATTATTTGTAGATTTTGTTATCGATAACAAGAAAAATTTCTTACCGAAAACATTCCCCGGTGCTAGATTATGCAACTGTGAGTTTTCAAGTGTACACTGAAAATTGTGTGCACTCTTCATTTTTTCATTCAGGAAGTATGAGAATGAGCTTCAATGTACAAAGTTGTGTATAATTGTCTACCGAAAAACTAACAGCATTTTATTTGATGAGTTTTTGGCTGTCAGTTTTGTATACTGCATTTTCTAATAGTTACAGAATCGAGCCACTGGTTTCAAGTCATCGTGCAAGTTCGCACGAAAGTTCTGGACCATTCCGAGACCGCTCGCGACAAGTGCAGGACCATTTCGGTAAAAGTTAGAAACTAGTTTGGGATCCTTTTTGGGCCAAATAAGGGTGCATTTCTGGGCCATTTCGAGACTTTTGTAGACTATTCCAAGACCATTTCGGGCTCATTTAGGGACCTGTTCAGGACCATTTCGGACGTAGTTTACGACTATTTCAGGACTATTTGAGACAAGTTCAGGACTATTTCGGGTCTCCTTCTTCTTTTTTTGAGATTTGTTCGGGTTAATTTTGGGGACCTGTTCAGGACCATTTCGGAACTGGTTCAAGAAAATTTCGGGACTAGTTTGAAATTATTTTGGGACTAATAAGGCACCGCTTCTAGGCTTGTTCGAGATCAAGACATTTGCAGACCACTTCAGGACAATTATAGGACTAATCCTGAACTTTTTCCGAAATGGTTATGGAAATGTCGTTTACTAGTTCCTATTTACGGATGTAACATAATCGCCTAATGCTTTAAAAAAGCCGTCCACAGATGTTTACATGTCGAATTTCATGAGTACCTGATACTCTTGCAAATTACGTGGTTCCTATAATGTCAAATATGTTTAGTCTTTTTTTTACAAAAATTCTGAATTCTCAAAATGTATTTGCATATAAAACCCCCCTACATAAAAGGAAGCGGTGGAGAGCCAGCTGTTGGAATGAATGTGAATTAAGTAGACATTCAGCAGGAAAAACGCTGATGTAATGTGGCATCAAAGGACACTAATCAGATATTTGGAGAACCGCAAAAAAACATATCCGTGAAGGATAAGATAAGATGGGCTACATAATCTCCGCTACAAAGGCTTGCCGGCAGAAAGTTACGGTCCGTTACATCACCAAGGTAGGGGAAAACCAACAGATCAACCAAAGTCATAACACTCATAGGTCTTGCATCCTTCTTACTGAAAACCATGCAGAAAATCGTGGACAGAAACTCAATATGCTTATCTCCCAGGAAAATCTACCATCCATGCTCTTCAGAGACTCACATGGAAAATTTGTGGCTTCATGGAGCACAAGCGCTTGGTAGTAAGCTCTTATGGAATTCGCAACTACATACAGTTCTTCAAAAGATCTGAGCTTCAATCTGGACCTGTTGGAAGTTATGGAGACTAACTGAGATATCGACCCTAAGGTAAAGTGGATGCAAGATACACACGTTGCGTCTATGCAGACCAAGTTCAGCAAATTACAGCGACTTCTCTGAGCGAGTATCACTAATGCAATGAGAACCACAGTATGCATTTCTGCCGCTGCTATACTTACTTGTCTTTACTATACATTACAACGTTTGCAGCAAGGTGTATCTCAGGGGACAATGTGTAGCATAAAAAGCTTGTACAACCCTGCACTCTAAGGGATATAGAAGAAGCGGATCGACTTGTCAACCTCTGAATTCCAAGATTTAACTAAACGCATAAATGGAAGGTCTTCTTTGCTAACAAAACTAACTGATACAATGAACGATCGACACCCCAAAAAGGTGGATAGCATTGCTGCTAGCATGGAGAAATTTAGTTATGGTTTCCAGGGCGGAGTGCAAGCCTTTGAACTATGCTTGCGGCTGTATATTATATATATTCATATGAACATAAGCATAAATATGTTGTAGGACAGCGTTTAGATTTTAATAATTACCACGTGCAGAACCCGAGCTTACCTCATTTGGGTACCGATTGGCCATTGGCTTTATGAAACTGTAACTAGGCCAGTTTTATTATATGGCGACTCGTCTGGGTAAGGGTAAGGCCTTCCTCGTCAAGTAGCTGGAAGGAGTATTCTAAACGCTTCGCAGTGCTACCGACTTGATGAGACCATTGCACGCCGATTTTCATATCGAAGGAATCTTTCACCACCCATATTCCAGTGAGAGAGGACTGGGCGGTGTACAGTATCTGAAATCGGAGTGGTGTAAATATATGTACGGAAGGGTCGAAGCTGAATGGGAGAGAGGATGAAGTTTATTCTGCGGAACTCTCCATTAGCTCAAATTTAGGTCATCGAATCACAGTAGCGTTGTCCAAGCAGGTTGCTCTCTAATCTAATATCTTTCAAAGAGGTGAATATCTACTCCAACAGCCAAGCAGCTATCAAAGCTCTTGGCTTCCTGATGGTTCATTCGAGAACGGTCACAAATTGTTCGCCCTCTTTATCGATGACGTCGGATAACTATGCTATGAAGGTTGTTTGGGTTCTGGCTCACAACGAAATCGCTGAAAACTGCATGGCTGATGAGATGGAAAGACAGGGAATTAAGGAAATGCTTTCCGGTAGAGAAAATCTGGTTTCACCTCTAACTCATGTAGTCAACTCCTGGAGAGATGGGCGCTTAATCTGCTCAGCATGCGCTGTACGAAGACCATGGAATGATAGGTGGCTAAAGCCTTTGAGCCACGTGCAGGCGGTTCGGGGTCCGGAATTCTTATCAAGCCCTGCTACTCTTCGGGCCTGCGTTTTCGCGCCTGCTAACGTTCAAGGTCTTTGGGTCCCACTTTTTGAGCACGGATCGATTTTCTTATATAGGCGTACATCCATGTTTAAGTGTGCCTCCCGCGAAGGCGGCCCTCTAACCTCACCAAACATAACCTATATTAAAATACTAGCAAGAATATTCCGTTTATTCAAAGAACTATTAAATAAACTGTTCTGAAACACACATTTTAACAAAATTTATAACATGTTTATCGTATACTAGTCCCCTTTTTGCCATCTTCATTTGTTCATATTCAACAAGAGAGCCACCAAACTGTAGGTATTGTTCATAGTCTAAAACAGAAGCAAATACATATTTAGTACCTCGGATACGGCAAAAAATCAACATAGTAAAACCTTTGAAAATACGACCAAACTGATATCGAAAAGGTTCCCAGCTCGCAAACGCACCGGGCGCTGCAGCATTTCCATGTAAATTACCAAATATTTTCGCATTCCAGGCGAACATTGAGTCCAGTTGGAGCTGTAGATAGCATTATTCAAATCGCTGGAATACGTTATGATCTCATTACCGTAAAAACAAGGAATGAAAATCTGCAAACCCATAATGAGAACTATTTGAAGGAGCGTTAAGAACTGCGATGGATTCTCCAGCATATGAATCTGAGAGGGAAGTTAAGAAGAAAATTAAAAAAAGGCGTCAGTACCAGGCAATCATGGTATTGCGATGTGTTAACATCTGCGTATGGCTTGGCAGAGCATTGGATATTTCAGTTAGTTGCATACATAAAAGGGTTAAGTTAGAAATTAAATATAAAATTTCATTTTGTAATCACTTCAGGAAGAGTTCAGGACTATTTCAGGTCAAATTCGTGACTAATTTCTAACTACCCTGAAATTATCCTGAACTAGTCCCAAAATTGTGCTGAAGTAGTCCTAAAGTGGGTCTGAACCTGAAAGTCCTGAACTTGTTCCGAAATGTCTTCGAACAACACATCAAACGGTCCTGACTTGGTCCCTTACCAGTTAGAAAATGATTCCAAATTGGCCTTAAAATGATTCCGAACTAGTCCCGAAATGTTCCTGACATAGTTTCACGTAGTCAAGAAGTAAGTAATACCGAAATGGTCCTGAAATAGTCCTGAAATGGTTCTGAGATTGCTTCGAAATGGTCCTGGAATAGTCGCGAACAGGTCTCGAAATGATCCCAAGCTAATCCCGAAATGAGTATTAAATAGTTATGTACGATCGAAATTGCCGTGAACTTGTCCCGAAATCGATCTCGAACAAATCTTGATACGGTCCCGCATTAGTCCTAAAATGATCCCTACAGTAGTCCTGACCTAGTCCCGAAATGTTCCAGAAATAGTCCTGAACTAGTCTCGAAAAGGTCCAGAACGAGTACCAAAATGACCCTAAAATAGTCGTGAACTAGTTCCAAACCAGGCACGAAATGGTCCTGAACATATCCCGAAACTATCCCGAACTAGTTCCGAAATTGCCCTAAGCTACAATCAAAATATTCCTAAACTAGTACCGAAATAGTCTTGAAAAACTTCTGAACTAGCACAGAATTTTCTACTGGGTTAACGCAAAAAGTAAAAACTAAAAAAGAGTAGTCCTATAAAAATTCATAGTCTTACCTTTTGTAAGCGATAGGCGCTGAAGCACAGTACGAAGGATGAGCAAAAAATTTGTATGAGAAAGGGAAACGAGACGTACTTCTCGCACTGCTGGGAAAGTCTACAAATAGAAAATAATGATAAAACACTTCTCATGTTTTCTCTCACTTACTCTCTGGTGCGCACGTGCAACGTCACAGCTCCAACAAAATCTGCATAAAACTTCTCCTCACTAAATCCATTTGACGCGCTGCTTTCCACGCGCACCACACCCATTCGTTCCAAGCGTCCGCAAATCAATTTAAAACACAACGATAATTGCACCAACATATAGCACTGTATCATATCGAAAGCACAATTCGACAAACAGGTGATCGGCATTGCCAGCAATTCATAGCAGTAAGCATACCAATAGCCAGGCTCCGTGCGCCAATCGAATGGCGGCGCATATGGAAATGGCAGCTCATAGTTGGCGCTGATCAGCACTCCCACAAAAGCTGTACTCAGTGCAGTCAGTGACATGGCAAAGTACAATAGTGCGATCCAACCGTAATGCCTTTGCTCACGTGCCCAAATCAGTTGTTCCTCTAAGCTCAGCTGCTGGAATAAAGCATCCTTCGTGAGTGCCGCAAAGAAGTCTACCAACAGTTGGCCATAATACCAGACATTAGCCAACTTCGCTAACAATGCCAACTCGGTGAGTGCCATGTACATGGTGTTGCTGAATTTCTCCAGATCCGAAGCATAAAACACATCCATGCACATCATTATCGTCAAAGGGATGGTCAAGCTGAAGTGCAGCAGTAAGGAGTAGAGGGTGTAAGGCGTATTTTTGGCTCCCTCATAGCGCCAAAGACCCATAAGCTGCAACACTTTGATGACCCCACGTCCGCCGGCTATGTTGTCGTA